CCCCAAAACCCCAAAACCCCAAAACCCCAAAACCCCTTTTAGAAGAAGTTTCTTTGAACCTAGCAATTTAAACCAAATTTGCGTTAAATGTTTTCTTGACTACTGTGGACACATTGCTGTTGTAGCTGCCAGGACCAGGCCCAAAGCCAGCCTTTCTCACAATCTTGCCGAATATAGAGTCCTGGTCTCTGGAAGCCGCCCTGAAAGACGGAGAAGCCTCAAGGTGTTTTGTGATAGACTTTTGGTTCACAGAATAAGTTCCTGGTCCAGGAACTTCCATTGCCTTTAGAGATTCTTTAGTATAATTGAATCGAGGAGAAATGTTTCGAAGGAAGATTTGATTCTATAGGTAATTCCAAAAAAAATATTACCTCTAAATCTTTCGTAAGATGTCTTTTAGAACTTTTATGATGGGACTCGGACATCATCTTATCTAAAAATCGACATGAAGGCTACCTTGATTCCAATATCTTGCCGGTTGGATACCATTAAAGACCTCTAGGTATTACCCATTGCCTTTACCTTTCTTATGTGCAACTGTATCTTCCTTGAACCTTCTGGTCGCGGACTTGAACTGGAAGGTAGTCTTTCTCTGCTCGTCTTTATTTTATCTTCTCAATAGTCTCATCTATGTATACTCTTGCTAGGTGTTTATCCTGAGGAGCTTGCTCCTCCTCTATTGAGAGTGCTTGGGAGACTCTCTTATTCTTAATTTTTCTCCTCCCAAATCTAGAATTAGGTTGTACGGCAAGATTCAAGAATTTTAAAGAAACATTATGGTTAAGAAGAATATTTTTGGTAACCTACCTGCTTCCATGAGATCCAAAGGGATTCTTCTTGTATCGTTGGGAATACTTCTGGTCAAGCGTCTTAAGCTGATCTCTAAAACTCAGATCATATGCGCCTGGACCTGGAAGATTCTCGCTATCTTGGCTGTTTGTGAGGCACTTCCTGATATCAGTTGACAAGAAAGGACTTTTCTTTTCTACAAAAAGGTAAATATTAGAAATAAGGGATTCACACTTACTAAGTTTAGTTCGAAGCATGCCTGGTAGCCGGATCTTTCTGATTACCTTATTTCTATTAGGCTTAATGTTGCTATAAGTTCCAGCACCAGGATTGTCAAGGTAGCTAGGATCACTATAAGGAGCCTCAATACTTGAGTTGAGAAACCTAGTGTTCTTGACACTCGTAGTTCCAAAACTTTCTGGAATGTTTTTCATAATTCTATGTAACCCAGTGTTTTCATGGATATAAGAGCCTGGGCCAGGTGTTTGTGAGATCTTGAGACCTCTAATAGTCTTCGATGAGAAAATACTACCTATAAATAGTTATGAACATTTACTCTCAGTTTTATCCTTAGAGATCCTGCCTGCAATCGAAGGTTTCACTTCATCTGGCTCTAACTATGATTTTAAAGGCTAATAATTACTAATGAGTAGGGATCATTTTCCTCAGCAGCTGGAAGGATAGTCCTAATGAAACTCTCCATATAGTTCTTCATTGATCCTATATTCTTGGATGTATTCGATCCCATAGAGATAGTCGGCACATTCTTCTTAATCACTTTGTAATTCGGATCATACTTTCCTGGACTCAGGTCAATTGCTATTAGGTTGTTAAACAAGAGAATTAAGTGTAAACCTGGGTTTATAACTACTTACTTTCCTTCGATCTATCAGCTTTAAGCTCCGGCTTCACCCCAGATGACAAGGAAGATTTCATTGGAGTCTTCTTCACTTTCTGGGTAATTTGGGGTTTTCTCTGAATATTTATATCAGTTCCAGAATGTGAAGCCAAACTTGTTCTTGGTGAATCAAATCTTGTCGACCCTTTATTATCAGTCAATGGACTGAACTTGGGTGCTTTACTTTGATTAGTTTGAATCAAATTTGATTTGTAATTATAACTCCCTGGGCCTGGCAAGCAATTTAGCATCGGAAAATCCTCTCCAAATCTAGTTGAGCCAGAGCCGAAAGGTATTTTTCTACAATGTTAGCTAATAATATACCCATGATTATGACTTTCATGCTTTGAGTTTACATTTATATCATATCTTCCTGGAGCAGCTTGTTGGTCTATCTCAACCTGTATCGGCTTCCAAAATTCGGTTTTCCTGATTTCTTTCTGCATTTTATTTCTCAATTTATTATAATTAAAAAGGGGTTTTGGGGTTTTGGGGTTTTGGGG